ATCGTGTGTAGAGCATTTTTGAAGAAATCTTGAAGACTGAGCGAATTCTGCTTTCTGTATTCCGGAATGAGTTGTGTCTGTGAGTGCATTTCTTTCAGTAGCTCACAAGTTGGAACATAAAATCCCAGCTTTGCAAGAAACTTGGCTGTGCGATACGTACAGGGAACCATGGTGTGTTCCACGACCGCTGCCACATCCCTAGTTTGCACGAAACAAGCAATGTCACTCAGCAACGACTTCACCAAGTTTGATCCATATGTAAATCCGTGATTTTCTGCAACAAATTGGGCAGTGTGGGCTGGAAATGCCCGAATGGACTCGACACAAACACATATAGTGTCAATTTCTTCCGTCGAAAAACAATCAATTAAATTATTTTGTGGGATAAAGTAATGCGGTAGAAATTTATGTTTTAAGCAGATCAGCAATTTGCTTAGGACAAACAAAACACAGCCACTGAAGTTTACATTCCAAAAGTTGGATGGAATTTCTTCACAAGCTTGAAAAAATATAGATTTTATATGCTTTGTTTGCAGTTTTTTCTCAACATGGAACGTTATGTTATCAAGAAGCACCTTGATTACAGCAAATCCATGTCGCTGTGAATCCGTTAGGCTGTCAAAAAGCAACCTTTCTATCTTTGAAAAATCTATTTTCCACTCAACTGATGGGTTTTCAGAGTTCTTGTGTGCTTTAGGAATCAATGTGCAAGGCATGCCATGAAATAAAATCAAAAGATGGCGTGAGGGAAAATCAAATTTTCGCCTCGAATGCAACCAATCTAAGGCAACCAAGAACATAGGACATATTAGCCCAATATACTTAACTTCAGCACTTATGTCCGCATTCAGGAAACTCGAATCGTATCCTTCAATGCTGAAGGCTTGAAGATAAGTTTCAGACTCTATCTTGCAAGTTTTTTCACCAACCAAGACCGCACGCTCAGGAGGGAATTTCAACCTACAATATCCGGCCTTTGTATTTGACGTATCGAAATGCAATGCATATGGCAACGGCGGAGCTTCTGAAGACAACACAGGTATGTTCGATTTTAAAACTACGACTTTTGCAACCCTTTCTCTCATTTGCTTAATATAAAAGTCTCTCATTTTCTGTGATTTGCTAATATCAATTAGATTCCAATTGCTTCCATCGGCAAATGAACCCAGAAAATGAACCGTCCCTCGAACGTGTGGAGAGAGTTGACCATATTCATGGCAAAGCATTTTGCGAGGTATCAAGTGTTTTAGGAGGAATGTTAAATGTGGCAACGGGGTGCCTGATATGGGATCCGTGTGAAGAGGGTCCTCAATCAACAGCTCTAAGGAATCTACAAGAGATATACGTGTTTCATAAAATGTTCATTTTTGGAAATACATACACACATATTTTTCCTAAATCCTCAATAAGAGGAAGTTAAATATTTGTAAAAAAAAAAACTTCCACAATAACCATTACAAAAACCCTTTAAAGAACCTAACAAACAAAATACCGGTGTAATTTTTGTCACGTCTGTTTGATAGGAGCATTTTAAGTGGTAGAAAAGGGACTATTTAAATGTTAATGAAAATTAACTTTCACGAATCTCTAGCAAAAGACTATCAAAAACGTATATTTTAACACATAAGAACTTTCGATTTGTATATTCATGTGGCTACTGATGCCTTGATATTTAGCACGTTACCTTCAGTATCTTCGAGTTGAAACTCTTGTCCACTGTTGACTCTAAAGAACTCGTTATGGTTTTTCTTTCCTGTTTTTGCATTCTTTTCATTTCTTCCATGCATAATTTCAGATATATGTTCAGAAGTTTCATCTAGTACACTTTTAGAAATGTATTTCCCTGATGAAATGCTTGACAATATGTCTTTGAGGAGAGCAACAGAGTCCTCTGGGTTCAGATCTTTGGAACATGCTAGTAAGCGGTAAAGCACAGCTTCTGAAAGAAAACAGAACTTTTCAAATATAGTATGACTTTTGAATCATTCCCTTTATTTCGAAGTTTGAGCAACTTATCAAAATAAATATTCGTGATAGTTTTAGGAATAGAGAAGAGAAAGTGCTTTCAAACGTTTCCAAATATACCATGGTTTTAACTTCGTGACCTTGAAGTTTAGATTACAGTGCTTTTCCATATTTTTAATACTGGTCATGACTTTCGATGGGGCTTTCATCTTTTGCATTTACATGGCCTGTGACGACCTTTCAAAATAACTTTTTTGTTTTATATTTGACCTCAGTACCTTGATTTATTTAAGCTTGATACAGTTTTAAAATTTTCAGTTATGGTCACAAGTTTTACGAGTTCAAATCTTTAATCTGTTTTTGTTTGTTGGAAAGACAAGGCATGAAATACAGACAGGATAGCTACAATATGTCGTGAATAATTACACCACAAACACTAAAACACAGAAAGCGGGTGGAAGCTTCGTTGAATGAGTCACTAAATTTATTTCCGATAATATACCTAAACTAGTTGCTATCTTTAAGGAAGTTCACGACATTGTAGCACTTCCTTATTATTTAAACAAATTATAATAACATTTCTATTGCAGAAAAACAAAATAAAAAAGTCACACAATTAGGACCATATATTGGTTAAAGCGATGAAAATGATAACTTACTGTAAGGCCAGTGTAACTGCCAATGTTTAGGACGTAGACTCAGATAATGGAACTCCCCAAGATGACCCAGGTATATTGTCAGCCTCGTTTTAATTTGTTCATTGGACTCGGCCTCAACTTCAGTTCTCCTGATGTCATCTTGGTAGACGTTAAAAACGATGATCTTTAATGTAAAAACGTCAGCAAGGGTTTGAAGAGTAATGTGGTCGCCCCACTCCCCTGGGCTCTCCATTCTGGAGAGGTATTCCTCCCAACTCTCCCCAGAAAGAAAAGAGGAGGGATGAGTTCCATCATCTCCAAGAGATTTTTTCCTCAGACGTCTAAAAATAAAATTGGGAATGATAAAATTTCGTTTGGTAAGTAAGTAAATGAATGGCAAGGCCAACATACGTTCCACTTCTGACTTGTTTAGAGTACCTGAAAGACAACTAAAACTTTTCTATAGTTTACACAGTTTTTCTAGTATACATTTCGCATTAACGACAGCCATTCTTGTTTTTCAGTCAAAGTATGCTTACTGTGTTGTTATTTGTCGTAAGGACTTTTCTGTATGACCTGGACAACCGTTAATTAGAAGCTGATCAGATATTGCATGGAACAGGCAGTCCCCATTCGCAATGACATCATGTACTTCAAAACTGTTATCAGCAGCAAAATCGTGGATTGATTGTTTAAAAGTGGGAAGGTTGATAAATTTACCTGTAAAGATAAAAAAATATAGAGAATTGATAGCAGTTGACCAATTAAAAATATGAAAGCAATACCTTTGAATGAATTTGCTACAAAATGTTAATTTTTATTACCTTTTTATTTAAAGTTTGATATCTATGGGTCATCTCTTCGCGATATTTGAACGTTATTTATCATATTTATATGTATTTTAATTGAAAGGAACATGTAACCATTTGTAATTAGGAAGAGAAACCCTAGAAATTTGAAACTGAAAAAATAGGTCTATAGATTTTTTTGGGAGAGCTACAGCTTGCAGCTAATATGATTCCTGCAGATTCAAGTCAAAGACGCACATATTTTTAACATGTTTAACGAAACAGTAGAATTTTGTTTTCAATTTATACCCTTATTTTGTGTGTATTCATAGACAAATAAGCCATGAAACGAAAAAATTGCCCGAAAACTTACTATATCTTCCACCATTTCGGGAATTCGTAGAAGGCTCCAAATCAATGTCTTGCTTTTGATTCTTCTCACTGACCTGTGTTTCCCAATATTCATCCTCGCTGTCGAAGTAATCCGTCTCGTCTGTGTCGCTGAATTCTTTTAATTGATCAGTCGATTCTGAATCAGCTTGAGGATATGGTTTACTTCGTATTTCAGAAGGATCAGGATCTGTTTTTAAAGAATTTGCCGCACAGTCAGTTGTTGCTGGTAGAGATTCTAATTCTAAATTATGTTCCGTAAATCGCAATTTCGTCCCACCTTTTGTAATATCCGATTTGTGGAAGATTACAGATTCTTGACTGCTTTCAACATAGTCTTGTCCAAATCTACTATCTATTGATGTATCTGTTTTCCCGAATAAAACTTCGTTATTTTCATTCTCCTCAAATTGGTTGTAAAATTCTGTCGTTCCGTCGTTTTCCTGTGTGTGATTTTTTACAGTTGTTGTCGTCCAGAAATATTGCAATGGATTCCGCGATCTCTCTTTTTCCATCAATTGTGAGACGTTTTTGTACATATTGACAACTTTAAATCGAGATTTCTATGCCCACTTAGTGGTCATCATCTGAAGTAATAATTTGGTGAAAAGAAGAGTGTTCTTTATTTGTCTGTTTTTATCCCTTCCTCATCTGTTTGTGTGTATACAAAATCCCAGTCAGAAAAACAATGTACGTGTTTCCGGAGCAGAACGTTGCACATAAATTTCCTTCTCAAAATAGTGTATATTTTTAAATAAGGAACGAAATTTGGTTTTCCATTTGTACCTCATTTTCAGATGTGAATTTAATCGTTTTCTCGTTTCTACGCCACTATAAATGAAGTTTCTCTCAGTGTGTATTTTTTCCTTGTAAAAAAAAACTTAACATTATCGAACGGTCATTGAGAATAGATGTGAGATACAGTTATTTGGACATTAGTTTTAACAGAGGATTGTTACCAATACATGTTGTAATGAAATGACAGTCTAGCGCGCTGTTCCTGTACTGCTAGGAGACAGATTCCGAAGTTTGAGAGTTCAACCCCGGGCTGGGGCGGAAGTGGGTATCCATATAAAGGTGAATTTCTTTGTGCTTTCTATATTAATATTTCTTCACTTAGGGCAGTTATGTTAGTTTAAGTGTTGTTATAAAATGTGCTTTATAAATAATGATTAATTTCATTACAACATGTATTGGTAACAATCGTCTGTGAAAACAGACCAACATTATCCTTTAAGCTTAATTAACGACGGCATCAGAAAAGCAAAGGAATTAGACTGACAAAAATTAATTAATCCAACTCCTAATGATGAGGAAAATATTAAAATATTACCATTAGTCACAACTTACAATCCTAAAACCAAAATATTACTCCTATCGTTCAAAATCTGAACGAAATTCTCAAAACGGATGAAGAAATGTCAAATGTTCCTTCAAAATTCAAGTTTATAAACAGCAAAAGGCAGCCCAAAAAACCTCAGAAGAATACTCTGTCCTTCCAAAATAAGGAAATTTACAAAATCCGTGACAAAGTGTAAAGATCCGCGATGTGGCACATGTTCTGTTTTAAGACAAGAAACGTCATTTAATTTCAGAGGAAAAGATTTCTTTATTAATTCCGACATGACATGTGAGTCCAAAAATTTAATATACGTTATTACTTGCGGAGGATGCAACCAATTCTACATCGGTGAAACGGGAACTACATTGAGAGCCAGAATTCGGGTGCATAAACAACATAATTCAAGTTAAATCCTGAGTACCGTCAGATCAAACTCAGCGAACACATTGATAGATGCGGACAAGGACAATTTAAAGTGTTTCCTTTTTATAAACTTTTTCAAGACAATATAACTGAAAGAAGAGAAAAAGAGAAATACTTCATTCAAAAATTTAATCCCAGTCTTAACAGTTTGATTTAATTTGATTTCTGACAAAACTTTCACACAGAGTGTAACCTTTCTATGTTCTCCAGCTAAGAGTATAAACACATGTCGGGTGTGAACATACTGCAAGCATTTAATTGCTTGCTGCCAGATTCAATTATAGATAATGGTTTCTAAAGTATTAATAGTTTTGTAAGACATTGCAGTCAGGATAAAGTATGCATTTGTAAAACGTCTGAAGATGTAATGAAAGCGCTAACGTTTTTTAATCTGTGTTGCCTTTTTTATTTTAATTTTACCTATATATATATATATATATATATATATATATATATATATATATATATATATATATATATATATATATATATATATATATATAAAAAACTAAAAAACCAACAACACTGTATATCCTAAATGTCGGATCTACCAATTAGATACAAGGTCACGGATGGAAATTTATATAAAGCACTAAAAATGACCAACGACACGAACAATAAAAATTGTCAAATTTTCGGGACGCCCTGTCCCTTCCTCAGGACAAAAAAAAAGTTAAAAAGTCATAAGAACAAAGGAAAAAGAGAAACAAAAACAACTAGCACTACTACTAAACACTAGATATTTACATACTTAATTACATATTGAATTGGAAATTTTTAAGAACACTAATAAAGAAAGAAATACGGACCGCTATGAAATGCGTCCGGTCTATCGGGTATACTTGGGTGAAGTGCGATTTATATAATTGAACGAATTAATTATGGTAATTAATTACGACAATCAGTAAATCGTACATTGTTTCATTCTCTCAAAATAGCGTAACTTCACTTAATAAAGAATAATCAAAGAAAAATAATATAGCAGGGATATTTAAACATATGAATTATGATCAATTATAAATTTTGATATATTTAAGGACTTATTACCGAGAAAAAATAATTAACAAAGGTGAAGTCATTCAGTTTGTTAATACCATTTGTTAATACCAGAACTTTTCTTTGCTTTTTCTCTGAGCATCTGTCCATCTTGGGTTATGGTCAATCACCACTACTGTCATGTCTTCCCATTTGTGACCCTCAAGGTTGAAATGTTCCCCAACGGGTTCATTGAGTTTTTTGGTCCTAATGGTCGAACGGTGGTTATTGACTCTCCTGCGGAGATCTCCTGTTTCACCAATATACTGTTTGGAGCAAACTTTTCTGATTAAATGCTTTTTGACAGGACAAATTCCCTAGTATTTTGTAGCTGCGGCCTGTAACAGGGCTGTTGAATCTGTCTGTGTCAGTACTGTGCTTACAAAGAAGACATCTTCTGTCAGAGCAAGTTTTAAAGCCCCCGTTAGGTAATGGGTTGTCCAGTCTGGTTCTTACTTAACTACATCTACCCTGATTGATGGTGAAATCGAATTTAGTCTCCACACCAAACCCACAGAGTTTTTTGCCCTCTAGCTGTCATCCCCCACACATGGTCTAGCCACCAGAATTCGACGCATCTGTTCGTCCCCTGTTTATCAAGTTATGCAAAAGAGGCTACAATGCCCTCTCAAACAGCTATTGATGAGATGGCGGGACATGACAGGCAAAACCTATTACGCTACAAGGAGAAAGACAATCTCCTGTTTCACCAATATACTGTTTGGAGCAAACTTTGTAACTGATGAGATAAATGGGGGCTTTAAAACTTGCTCTGACAGAAGATGTCTTCTTTGTAAGCACAGTACTGACACAGACAGATTCAACAGCCCTGTTACAGGCCGCAGCTACAAAATACTAGGGAATTTGTCCTGTCATACTGACAACTGCATTTATCTCAATAGTCAATAACCACCGTTCGACCATTAGGACCAAAAAACTCAATGAACCCGTTGGGGAACATTTCAACCTTGAGGGTCACAAATGGGAAGACATGACAGTAGTGATGATTGACCATAACCCAAGATGGACAGATGCTCAGAGAAAAAGCAAAGAAAAGTTCTGGATGCACAGATTGAAGTCATTCCGCCCTAATGGTATTAACAAACTGAATGACTTCACCAGAATGAACGTAAACTAGACCCAATTCCTGATGATACTAAACAAGATTATTCTCTCAATTTAGTGTAAACTGTACAGTTAATTTGCGTCACCAACTCTCGAACAACCCACATAACTATGTATTGCTTACGCCTTTGTTAATTATTTTTTCTCGGTAATAAGTCCTTAAATATATCAAAATTTATAATTGATCATAATTCATATGTTTAAATATCCCTGCTATATTATTTTTCTTTGATTATTCTTTATTAAGTGAAGTTACGCTATTTTGAGAGAATGAAACAATGTACGATTTACTGATTGTCGTAATTAATTACCATAATTAATTCGTTCAATTATATAAATCGCACTTCACCCAAGTATACCCGATAGACCGGACGCATTTCATAGCGGTCCGTATTTCTTTCTTTATTAGTGTTCTTAAAAAATTCCAATTCAATATGTAATTAAGTATGTAAATATCTAGTGTTTAGTAGTTTAGTAGTAGTGCTAGTTGTTTTTGTTTCTCTTTTTCCTTTGTTCTTATGACTTTTTAACTTTTTTCTTTGTCCTGAGGAAAGGACAGGGCGTCCCGAAAATTTGACAATTTTTATTGTTCGTGTCGTTGGTCATTTTTAGTGCTTTATATATATATATATATATATATATATATATATATATATATATATATATATATATATATATATATATATATATATATATATATATATAGGATGCTATCAATGTCTTAATCTGAGCGAAATAAATATTCTTGGGCATTTTTAATGCCTGTAGTTTTAGACATTGAGGTCGAATTTTCCCTAACTTGGCTTAGTTTAGTAAATCTAGGACCTCCGGTCAAGGAACTGTCATTCATGCTTTTGAAACACATGATCCCGATAAGTCATTAATATGTAGTGTATATTTGCATTTGAAGCTCTCCTTTCAGAAATAAACTTGGAAAAAATTCCAGCTTTTGAACATGGGGAACAGTCGAATAGACGAGAAATATTGTTATCATCTTGCGCTTTAGAGTAATGTTTTTGTACAGAAAAAACGGATGTAACATGAGCTGCACTTTTTCTTTCCATAGACAAGGCAAAAGACTGTTTTCAAAAGAACGGATACAAAGACAACTGTATGCGACGAGAAACCATGAAAAATCATTTGGGAACTATCATACTATATTAGCCAAGAGCATATCAAATTTCTAATAATTATAATGTGCGAATTCTGTTTTTGTTAGTGTACAATGTAATAAAATTAAGTTAAAAATTCTTTTAAGATATATTTTGTATTGTTTTATGGACTTTGATATTGAATACTGTTCGTTATCTACATATCCTTTAAAATATATTTGTTGCCTCGTTTAAAAATTTCGCATTGTAACAATGTAGCATTAATTCTGTAGATATTGTAAATCATACGCCTTTAAAACCACCTTGTCTTGCAGCTAAAACAACCCGGTTTTAGCTTACCTGAGCTGAAAGCTTGAGTGAGCTTTTCTTATCACAATTTGTATGAAGTCCGTCAGTCCGTCCGTCTGTAATGTTTTCAAATTTTCATATTTTCGACATCTCCAGAACTACAGGGTCAATTTCAACTAAACTTGCCACAAAGCATCCTTGGGTAAAGAGGATT